TCCGTCGGATTAGGGTAGGTAACGCATCTGCAATTGCGGATGTCTATGGGCAGAGGTCGCTTCGCCATTTTGGCGGATTCAGGTGGCTGCTTGCTCGTTTGCCACCTTATGTTATAAAAAAAAAATAATGACTTAAATATGATATGTTAATGTCGATGTTCATATTAACGTCTAAATCCAGGTTATCGATTCAATAGTAATAGATTAATGGTGAATAGACGACAATATATTACTGACGTCAATGAACCATTGACCCGTGTTGTTTTGATTTGTAGACAATTCGCAGGTCGAGACGTTTTCAACTGTGGTTAAATAACAAAACTAATAAATAAAATATTCATTAGTAGTGAATATTTTATGTTTGCTTAAACAATAATTCTATAACTAAAAAATTTTAACAGAGGCGTTAAACAACATAAGAGTCCCCAAGTTAGGAGTAACTAAGGTTTAGTCAATCAACCTGGATCGATGACTTCACTTGACTAATATTTATAATTCTCTTTTTCCAGTAATAGAATTAGCGTGCGGCGAATACGGTGAGGATAAGATCGAATACTTGACGAACAAAGCGGAAAACGGGAGAGACCTGAGCTGGTTCGACGAACCAGAGGGCATTCCTAGTATGGAGGCGCTCCGCAAGCAGTACCCACTTAGCGTCCTCAAGGAACAAGACTCGGGACCCGCGGGAGAAGAAACATCACAGTCCAACCAGACTTCGGTGCTAATTAAAAGAGGATTCATGAAAGCGAAACGTGATTCTGTAAGTATCAATTGTTTTACAAATCGCAGAGATAGTTGCATGTATTTAAGAAGACTTAATCAGCACTTTTGATGGTCAAATGATCTTGTCCTATCCTATATGGATATATAAAAGTCATTCAATTCAGAAGTTTAATCTACATTCTTTCATTCTTCTTATGCTATGAGTGACATATGCCTATTGAAGATAATTAAATAATAACAATTCATTTTCCAGACCATGACGCATATGAGGCTTGTGGTAAACGTTGTGGTGGGCATCATGCTCGGCAGCCTATTCATCAAGGCGGGTAATGAGGGCTCGCGTGTCATAGAGAACTACAATCTGCTGTTTGCTATACTGATGCACCATATGATGTCCCCTATGATGCTCACCATACTCACATGTAAGTTATTATCACAAAATACAAATACGTGAAAATTTGTTTTCAAAAATCGTTAACGATGACTATCTGGTGTTAATATGAATGAATACAGCCAGTATTAAATTTAAAAATAATCAATTGAAAAAACTTTTTTTTATAAAACTTTAACGTTGTCTTTCAGTTCCATCAGAGATGTCGATTTTAATAAAAGAACACTTTAATCGATGGTATTCGCTGGGCTCCTACTACATATCTATAACGCTTGTGGACCTGCCGATATCTGTGAGTTATTCTTTGATTATCTTTCTCTTTGTAAACGTTTACACTTTATTGGCTGTAAATTTCTGTGCGGCCAATCCAGTATTAAAAACTATGTCAATGTAGCCTGATGTCTACAAATTGCAGAAATCGTATCACTTTAAGAATCATTATGTATCCAGATCGTTTCGTGCCTGGTGTTCAGCATCATAGTGTACACGATGTCGTCGCAGCCGCTGGACGTGGTGCGCTTCCTCATGTTCTTCGCGATCTCACTGTACACGGTGCTCGTCGCGCAGAGCTTCGGACTGATGATTGGCGCCGTATTCAATGTTGTTGTGAGTATGCAAATATGTAATACAAATATAATGTATTTTAATGTGCATAAATCAGCATCAGGTGGCGTTGTAGATCTCAAATAAGTAACTAAACGTCTTGTAAGCTATTTTTCCGGCAATAAGAATGAAAGAACAAACCTTTAAAATCAGGATGCTTAGACGCTTTTCTCAATAATTAACAGAATCTATCATTTTGTTCCCACTATAGCTAATATGTTGTCATTTTATTTATTGGTGTACGTTTTCTTCTAGAACGGCACTTTCCTGGGACCTGCTCTCTCTGTGCCTATGATGATGTTTGCGGGTTTCGGCGTGACATTGCGAGACTTGCCCCCCTATTTATACTGGGGCTCCTACGTTTCCTATTTACGGTATGGCCTGGAAGGACTCATAGGAGCAATCTACGGCCTCGAGAGACCGACACTTGATTGTAACCAGGCCAAATACTGCCATTATAGGTAAGAATATATAACTTTTATACGTGATCTTTCATATTTAGGATACTCTAATAATCAATATTTTTAACAAAGTTGATTTAAAAAAAATGTACTGCTTAGGGAATCGTTGCCAATTTTTTTGTGACAAAAGAAGTAAATGAATTGTTTAAATAAGACAGTTTATGATGCTGTAGATATGAATTTTGTTGAAAATAAAGACAACCGTGCAGTTAATATTAAAGAAATAATACCTTTTTCTTGATTTTTAATCAGTTTATATATATGCAGTTTATAGCATTTTAAAGATACACTGTTATTTTAAATATTACAGATACCCTAGGACATTTTTAAAGGAAGTAGCGATGTCGCCCGACATGTTTTGGTGGGACGTGCTAGCCCTCACGGTATTCGTCTTCGTGTTGAGAACTGCCGCTTTCTTGCTGTTGAAATGGAAATTAAATGCAGTCAGATAGTCTAGCTATAGTTTACTTCAGTTAAGTGGTCAATTTAGGGACTAATTAACGTCTCTGAGTACGTTACCCCAAAACCAAAGAATTGTACTAAAAAACAAAATTATATGTGATTTATATTTGACATTAAACTAACCTAAAAAGTTTTTGATAGTGATTTTCTTTCATAAAATTGCAACTCTTATATTTCGTATATATCTGGCATAAATTACTTAGATACGTAATAAAAGTTTTGTTTATTTAAGGTTATACCAAAACTTGTACATATAAGGGTCCAAATACTGTGATAGTTGAAAAGGCGTCGTAATTATCGATTAGTGATAAATTCTTGCCTAAAACAGGACTTACATTTGTTACATATAAGATAGTTTAGTTAATAGGTAATTCTGGGGCGAGTAGAACGTAAACTATAGAAAAGTTCATCGGAAAATTTTAGTACAAATACTCTTATAATAAGAAATTGATATAAAAAAACTTATTTCAGTGTCATTAATATTTTGTAGTGAAAAAAAAATAGTTATATTAATATGGATATGACTTTGAACTTTTTTGACCGAGTTCCAAAAAGAAGGAGGTACTCAATTCGTCTGTATGTTTTTTTTTACAAATGATAAATGTTTTTGTAATTTTATAAATATCTTGCAAACGCGAGATTTACTATTGTAACCATTCTTTATATTACGGATGGAATTGTACGCACATATTTGTGTAATTTACGATTTAATTGCTCAAACTTGATATTTTTTTTAAGAATAGACAGTTTTCATACTAGTTTCTAAGTTAATATAGGTTAGTTAGTTAACATCGTTAGATTGTGTACAATGTAATGGTGATAAAATAAAAAGAAAATATATAAATTTAAAAATGAGAATATTTTTTTATTTCACTTTAACCTATAATAATATCATCAAATCATAAATTCTACTATAGAATAAAGAACATATAGAAACATAGAGAAGCTATCGCTTGTTTCTTCGTACAGAAGAGGTAGTGCCATCTTGCGATCATGATTTGCTAAGTTTCGATAAAAAAGAATTGCTATGCATAGCTAAAAGGCGCTTTTATTAAATATCTATTAATACCATACATGCGAAAAAGATTTGCCGATGGGTTACATTCCCATTAAAACCGACTGTCCCTTATTCGTCTGCTCAGTACTATCATTGAACGCGTCGTCATGAGGCCATCAGCAAAGCTTCTGCGCACGACCAATATCTGAACTATATTTAACCTCTAAGTACAATGATACACTAAAACCAAGGTTAAATGGCTTAAAATTAGTTTATTCGAGAATGTCATTACAATCGTCCGATTAAATACGACCTTATCGATTACAAATTGCAATCCTGTCAAGATTAAAATTAATACGCGTAATAAATATTATAGGTTACTTCGTATCTGTTGGTTTTAACCAATAAAATTTACACAATAATTTAACAAAATTCGACCCGAAGTTTACCACGTCTATCTGTCAACCCTATCCTGTCTGACACTGCTGTTTAGTTTAAACCTAATGATAATCATGGATGTTGATGTCCTCCAAACTAATATCAAGTTCTCCTTGCAACCTAAAGACCTTCTTATATGAGATATATTGATAGAAATTAAAGCGAATTAATTATTTATCAATTAATCCCTTAACTTCCAGTACGATATTCATTGATTCTGTCTCGTTCAACCTTCTAGTAAGTTCTAAAATCATTGTGCATATTCACATAGCTTTCAGTTTCTTTCCTATACATTCTATTATCGATTTCTTATTGCTTTGTGGATTCCACACGAAGTCAACTATGCACCACTGTACCAGATAGAAGAACAGGCATTCCAGCATCACCATTAGAGCCAATAGTAATAATTTGAAAGTGTCAAATATTTGGAATACCGAATAAATCACTTCGCCGTTGAGATAACTGATACCGCACCTGGAAAAATATTTTTTTATGAATCCATTTCCAGCACATAATCTATCTCTTTTCATCCGTCTGACATAGGGTAAAGTTTCACGCGTATGTAAGTTTCTTTTTGGTTAATTCGATTGTAACTTATACCCAAAACGAAATCAGAATTTTGACCAGCGAGATGTCATTCGAATCGTCTTCTATTCCGGAGTGTCATAAAATACATTACAAAACACGTATAGTGGGTGTAAGAAACGAAATTCTAAAAAATAAGCGAAAAAAGGAAATACAAATCTCAATCGGGTGGCTTTTTTACATTGGTAATTCTTTTTTTTTACGATTTTGTCCAGTATATCTTATTTGGAAAGTGTTACAATCGGATATTTTATACTTTAAAGTAAGGTGAATACTTTGTACTTACATCGCCATGTACGTTAACATAAAGGCCATCATAAGACAGATCCCAGGTTTAAGATTCCTCGGTCTACGTCGAGGCACGAGGAGGAGGTCCAGTAGCATGATGAGCATGGAGACTGTGTGCAGGGAGTGCTGAGCCCAGTAAGGTAGGTATGTGAATATCCTCGGCGGGGCTATCAAGCTCAAATCTTTATGCCAGATGCGCCAAAACATGAAGTCAGCAAACTGCAATGAAAGAAAAGTGATATTGTCTCTTAGAGACAAATACATAGATGTGTGTGAGACAAGTCCAAGGCGGAAAAGCTAATAAAGTAGCCAGATTAACATGAACTTGTAATGCCAACCAAGTAAATTTAATTGTTAAGCAATTCTCTGTTAACTCTTACACCAGAGCTAATTTACACATGTCTAGTTATGACGTTACGTTTAAAACCGATGAAACATTTCTATAAAATACGTATTCACGCAAACAATAAGCATACCAACGTGGTAGGGAAGAGTATGCTGGTCATGACGTAGTCTTTGAGCTGGCGAATGGTGGCCACGTGTTGCATGTGCCACATGCCGCGCCTCTCCTTCCAATCACAGTATAAGCAGACGGGGAAGTACGCCAGGGTTATCATCTGGAATAAAAAAAATGTACTTCTGTTATAATATCCTGTTTACTGAATCGGTTACGAAAGGGATAAAAACTAAATTTGGAATACAGTTCCTGGGTTCGATTCCCACTACATACCAATTTATTTTCTATGTTATGTATTATGTTTTTATTATCTTTGCTATTTTCCGTCATTAAAGTATCTATTGTTGATTAACTTTAGATAACATCTTTTTTGAATGAAAAATTTTAACAATATTGAACGTACGTTACAATAAATTGGTAAAATTTTTAACTATAATTTTATTGAACTGACATTCTGAATTTGAGAAACATTTCCCTCATTGCATATTTGATTAACACATCGCAAATGATTTAAAATAATTACAAACACGTGAATTAAACCGTGATTTTTATCTGCCGAAGCACAGTTATAAAATAAAATTTACATGTTACACATTCTGCTAAAAATAAGACATAGGAATTATATTGATACTAGCATAGTATAGAATTATCTGTGGTATGGGTAATTCGGCAGTGGCGCAGTGATTGCTGGCGACTTTTGAAACAATTGAATGGGAAATAAAAAAGCTAGATAGTAGTGATTGTTGTTAAATTGAAAGGGCAACAAAAAAGTGTCTATTGTTATTTTGTGTAACACATACTAAATATTTTTAATTAATTTCATTTATTTGCTATAACAATAGTAATTTTAAATTTTTACATAATTAGTCTTAAATATTAATGGATTCTCAATTAACTTCTTCAAAAAGAGAAGCTTAAGAAAGTTACAAGATAAAAAATTATATATCTTTGTTTATCTTATGCCTTTGTCAGTAACAAAATAAAATCAATTCCCTATCGTTAACAGTTATTTACAAGCAGCAAGGGTCAATCGTAATCATATGACTACGCAACATTGTGTTGCAAACAAAAACAGTTTGTTTAATCTCTTGTTTAAATTTGAAATACCCACAAATTTTATTGTGTGTGTGAATTTTCAAGTAATTCTGCGAAAGGAAAAACATTTACTTATTTAACCTTTATGAGATTAGTTTAGATGATTGATTATATGATTTCTTATTGCTCACGTAGTAAAATTCGTTGAGGGATATTTTCCATTTATTATTAAAGAAATACTATAGTAAAAAAAATCCATGTACTTAAGCTTCTTTTAAGTTTGGGTTATACCATATGGATATTTAACAATTGTAGAAATGAATTTGTCGAGTTCTTTCTGATATTCCGAACGAATGATGATAAATCTGCGTGACCTATTTTAGAGTGTTTATATATTTTTATTAAGAAGAGATAAAAAATGAACACGTGAAGTTTTCGTGCTGACATCGGTCTAATAATGAAAGTAAAAAAAAAACTTTCCATTATTTATCTACTTAAATAATATTATCGATAAAATTGATTAGATCAAAATGAAACTAACGTATTAAAAAAAACAGAAGCAATATTTACATTGAACCAGCAAGTAATTAATTTCCATCTGATATTAATATATGCGCTGACTTTAGGATCCTGATCTTCAGACATATCGACAGAGAGGGACACGATAGCTGTGAACACAAGATGAAGCCAAGCCAACGCATAGAACCAGAGTCGAAACTTCACGAGCACACTTCCACTGGGCAATGCTATCGGCATCGAAAACTCCATAACACAAAATTATAGTCACGTCGTAAACAGATATCGCGGTTGCACACGAGCGAGGCTGTACGCAAACTAACCGCGGAACGATAATGCCACATAATCTATTGTCAAAAGTAATACAATGAGTGTATTAATATCACCAGCCCTTAAGGATACACTAAGTACTATCTATATATAACTTTATACTAATATAATAAAACGTAAACACACCCAACTTTGTAGAGTAGGATGTCAGCAATCACAGTAGATTTTTGAATGAATTTTTTCTTAATAAAAAGCAATACTTACGACACGATTCAGGATATATTTTCACGCTATTAAATTTAGGAGGTAAATAAATTGGACAAAAACAAGCGGGAAAGGGACAAAACAATAAGACAAACAAACAAAATTGCCATAGTAACGTTACTTGTATCTGTGCATATGAATTTTGAAAGTAATTGACTGTTTTACAAAGGTAAACAAAAGAAAAAGTTCTTATAATTTTAATGCGGATGAAACCGTACGGAAACAGCTAGTTGATAATATTTTTATATCAATGTAATTTTGATACTTAGAGTCGGTGGTTTAGGTGTTAAGTTTAGCCAAAGTTTTTAGTGAGTAGGAAAACATTGTGATGCACATATCGACGAAGAAATTCAAAGATAGGTAGGAGAGAAGTCAACTAGAAGAACTAGAAGACTAGAAGTCAAAAATAAGCAGCGACGAAAGCAACACGGTGCAGAGCGTACCGGTGCGTTCCACTGGAGATCCCGGGACCCTCAATTCGCACCTGAGGGCGGTCACCGAGGGGGTTTTTAGTGAGTAGAAAAATGTGAGAACATAACCCTGTCTTTTACAAAACACAGTTTTGAAGATTTCCCCCCCATTACCAAAAAAAAAAGGAGAGAAGTCAACTAAACCGCACTGGGCCAGCGTGGTTGACTGTGGCCTGATCACCCTCAAGTAGGGTATGCTCCCAACCCCTCAATGGGGATGTATAGTGAGGAAATTATGAACTTTATTTTAAATTACACTTACGTCTCGCTAAAGGTGACTCGCTTTTATTAAAAAAAGAATTATTCAAAAATATGCTGTAATTGCTGACATCTTGGGCACCAAAGAAGTGTGTGTTTACGCTTTATTATAAGTATAGAGTATAGATAAACCTAGGAAGTCTTAAGTACTTTGTGGTATATTCTTGAAACTTATTTCTTTGAATATAAATTTCAATTAGGTGTTCATAAGACAATTGTAACAGCAATTAAAAACATGATTTAGAAAGCAATTAAATAATATTTCATACAAAGAAATTAATAAGATTTCTGAAAAATCTCAAGGATCAAATAATCATATTATGACTGTTGATAAATTTTTTATTGATAATTTTCTTTGTATTATGTATATATTATTATCGTAGTTTCTAACGATTTCAGACTATTTTTGCGATAGATAGATAACATTTTAAATCCTTCATCGTAGTTATTGTTTGATTAGTAAGTAAGCCATTGTCAAAACAACTAGACCATGTCATTTACAAAATATAAAAAAAAACGATAACAAACAGTGTTTAATTTATACTTGTATTGAAATACAATTATCAAACTAAATCAGTTCCGTTCATGCGACAAAAGTGAATACTCGTAAAAAATATAGAAATAAAATGAGACTATATTTTTAAGAATTAATCATAAAAAATGTACACATTATAAAAACTTTATATAAAATATTCTTTTATATAAAAGACCAGCTGTTCCCGTGCGGTTTCATCAGCATAAAATTGTTTTATTATTTACATGTGTTAAATTATCAATTGCAAATGTCAAAATGACATGACATGACAAAACTTGGCAATATTTCTTCCTTGATGTTGGCGGCAATTTATGGTCTCTTTCCCACATTAGGGTTATCCAAAATATTTACCCCTTAAGTTTAATTCCGTGAAAATATACAGCCTAACGGGTGACGTTAGTGCAGGGTTTTTTGAAAAAAAGGAATTATTCAAAAATATGCTGTGATTGCTGACATTTTAGGCAACAAAAAAGTGTGTGTTTACGCTTTACTATAATAGTATATAAGTATAGATAAACAGTTTTGTAGACATAATTTTACGATTCTTGTTTCTTTATTTCAATCAGTACTAAATTTTATTTGTACTTGGCCTTTTTAGTGCATAATTATGAATAATAATAGGTCCTTAAATATTGTCTATGACGTCACGAATCATATCGAATTAACAGTCAGCTCAGCTGATCACAAAACTATACGCAACGCGCAGCGGTTGTTTATTACTAGATGTACCCGTTATGGTTGTACAAGGTTCAATATCAACTGCGTATAATGAATTCAACCCGCACATCAAAATGTTTCCGTAAATCAAATGGATATCAATTAACAATACAATTACGCGCATAGATTTTTAAATTATATGTGTGTAATTTGAATAGCATAAAATAGATAATAGGACAGTGAACGTCTCAATACTGTCTGTCAACTGCAGAATAAAAATTACCTCAAATACATACCGTCGTGCGCCTTTAATAATTTATAAGCAATTAATTAACAAGGAAATATTGCTCTACTAATTAAAAAGGCACTAGTTCAAACTTAATTTAAACATTTACGAAAATTTTAAATACAGCAATCTTTTTGTTTAAAAAATTAAACGAAAGCTTTTATCATATCATATTTATTTACAATTAAGAGGGATGACAATATGAATTTTTAATTCGAATAAAAGGATGATTAAATACACCTTATGGCATTCCAGGAACAAATACCAATAGAATGACATATATAAAATTTGGTTCAGTCGTTTAAATCACAATGGAATTGACATTAAAACAATACTCACATATATTCTTACGAAAAATTACCTATTAGTCGGGTAAAAACTATTTCAGCGGTTCACCATTCACTCGTTACTGTTTATTTTGGTAAATCACAAGAAATGTCTAGTCTTCAAAACTAAACGTCGTCTCTCCGCTTAGGTCAGAGGGTCATCAATTAAAATTGATAATGTGCCAAATGATTACATAATCAAAGTTAAACGTGATACATTTTATTTAAGAATCTTTATCAAAGAGTTGTTTATTCTACTAAATTTTCATTACAAACAGATTTCAATCTGGTACACTCTTATTTCAACCAGTTTGAACCTAGCTAGATAGTGTTGTACATTATCCTTAATATCGACAATCGAATTACATCGTAAAATATTTTTATCGTAGGAAGATTCCAATAGTTGTGAACGCACACAATTATACAAAATAAACATTACTTTTGTCTTCAAATTACCAGTTAAATTCGTGTTATTTTCATGGTACAATTTGTTATTTTACTTCGTAAAAAATTAAGATAACATTTAGATTAAATTTTATTGACATATGTAGTTATTTAAAAAGATCACCGATCCTACATTTTAAAACTTGGCGTTATCGATAAAAAGGTGTTAAAACATCCAATGCGGAAGTAAAGATTGTGTGTGTAAGATATTAATTAAATTGAATCTATCATGCACATTCAGTCATTCAGTATCGTGATACATATACGTCAATCTATCGATCCTAATTAGTTATGGTTCAGAACATGTATTACAAACAGAATTTATCTCTTCGTTAATATAATGAGATATATAACAACAAATGTTTTTAAAATTGAGTATGTAACAACTCTATATTTAAAGACATAAGAGATTTTAAATATTTCTCCATTGCATCTGATTATCGGCATTTAAGGATTTCATATAAATAATACGAACATTTTAAATGCGAAAGTTTAGATGAATGGAAGGATGGATTTTTGTTAGAATTTGTAAACTAAAGTACTGAACGGATCTCGATAAAATTTGGTATAGCTGTAGAGGAAGCTTTTTGGAAGAATATGTAGGCTACTTACTTTTGATTTTAATTTCACGCGGACGGAGTCGCGGGCGAAAGCTAATAAAGAATATAAGGAAAAAGTTACAGTCAAGCGAGCAATTTCACCATAAAACTCACCATACGTCTCTGCACAAAATTGGGTGTGACTAGTAATCGTAGTGCATGTTGGTTAACTTCACATATATCTTCCTATGTGTAGGTTGCATCTCGATGTTTTCCTCCATAGTATTCAATTGACCAGAGCACTGCTGACTGAGGGGTTTGAGCACTTAACTTATAATCCACAAGTCTTTAGTTGGAATACCGCTATAACAACGTGATTTTCGAAATTCATATGTAACTACATTAACCTGACGTCCTTACGTTGAAGAAAAACATCGTGATGAAACCTGCACATATCGGCGAATTAATTTAAAGATATGTATGAAGTCGACCAACCCGCAGTGCAGTGTGGTTGACTATGGCCTAATCACCCCTTACTTTGGGCAGTGTTAGCCCTTTAGAGGGGACGTATACTAGCTGGTGATGATGATTCCATTAACCTAAGAACATTATTATCTTATACAATTTTATCAGATAAAGAAAAAGTTAAATCTAATATAAATATTTCTCTTTCTAATAACACTTGCCTGCATTTTAAATTAATAGGGTAAGCACAAATGCAATGTATATAGGTATAAATATCGTACTTATTGGAACTATCAATTAAACGTATCTTCGTTAAAGTACAGCGTTTGTTTGCTCAAATCCTGGTCATCAATTGAGGGCTCGAACAACATTGACAATTTGACCTCAACTCGGCGAAAAACAATGCGATAACGCTACATGTACTTACCGACATAGATTGTATCAAAAGTAGGGTGACAATAATAGGTAGAAAAATTAGGACACACTATTTTTTTAACATTAGCAGATTTTTGTATATTTAATAATATTTAACAATTAGCTAACTAAGCGCTACACTTGTGCTAGGATACGGTTCAAGGCAATAGTCGACTAGTGGGATTCAAACGGTAGTCCGTCGTCCAAATTATTAGGCTATTGGCGCTTCAATTTACTGATTTCACAATATTTACAGAAGCTGTATTCGCTGTTATTTAATTACTGGAATACATTACCCTGCTGTCTGTACGGCAATTAAAAAAAACATTAATTTATGCTTCAGAGTTTTCGATCGACATTTTGAAAACGACAAAAATCTATGTT